AAAAACAGTTTGGCAGGTTCTAAAATAGTTAAATATACTCTTACACAATGACCCAGCAATTCCACTCCTGTATATATGCCCAAGAGAAATGAAAACATATTGCCAGAAAAAGACTTGTACAAGAGCAACAGTTTTATTTATACTAGTCTCAAACTGGAATAAATTTCAATGACCATGAACAGAAAAATGAATAAGCAGATTGTGGTAGATTCACACAATGGAATACCACTCAACAATAAATGAACTACTGTGCAACACATCAACATGAATGATAAGCAAAAGAAGGCAGACACAAAAGCATATATATGTTTTATCCTGTTTATACAAAATCCAGTAGCAGGCAGTATTAACATATGATGGAAGAAATGACAGCAATGGTTGCCCCTGAGAGGCTGCCTGGCTGCATGTGGTCAGCATGTGGACTGACGGGCAAGGCATACACTGTTCTGTTCATTTCTCAAAGAACACATCAGTTTTTGGCTCTGTGTCTCCCTTCAAATCTCCATTGTTTCTTTTTTTTAATATATATATTTTATTGCATTTTAGGTTTGGGGGTACATGTGAAGAAAATGCAGGATTGTTGCATAGGTACATACATAGTAATGTGATATTCTGCCTTCCTCCCCATCACCTATATCTGACATTTCTCCCCAGATTATTTCTCCCCAACTTCACACCACTTGCTGACCATCCCCTAGTTTCCCCCCAAGAGACCTCAGTGTGTGATGCTCCCCTCCCTGTGTCCATGTATTCTCATTGTTCAACAACCACCTATGAGTGAGAACATGCAGTGTTTGATTTTCTGTTCTTGTGTCTGTTTGCTGAGAATGATGGTTTCCAGGTTCATCCACGTCCCTACAAAGGACACAGAATCATTTTTATGGCTGCATAGTATTCCATGGTGTATATGTGCCACATTTTCCCTGTCCAGTCTATCATTGATGGGCCTTTGGGTTGGTTCCAAGTCTTTGCTATAGTAAACAGTGCTGCAGTGAACATTCATGTTCCTGTATCCTTATAATAGATCGACTTATAAGCCTTTGGATATATACGCAGTAACGAGATTGCTGGGTCAAATGGAATTTCTGTTTCTAAGTCCTTGAGGAATCTCTACACTGTCTTACACAATGGTTGAACTAATTTACACTCCCACCAACAGTGTAAAAGTGTTCCTATTTCTCCACATCCTCTCCAGCATCTGTTGTCTCCAGATTTTTTAATGATCGCCATTCTAAGTAGCGTGAGATGGCATCTCAATGTAATTTTGATTGGCATTTCTCTAATGACCAGTGATGATGAGCATTTTTTCATATGTTTGTTGGCCTCATGTATGTCTTCTTTTGAAGTGTCTGTTCATATCCTTCGCCCACTTTTGAATGGGTTTGTTTGTTTTTTTCTTGCAAATCTGTTTTAGTTCTTTGTAGATTCTGGATATTAGCCCTTTGACAGATGGGTGGATTGCAAAAATTTTTTCCCATTCTGTTGGTTGCCGATTCACTCTAATCATTGTTTCTTTTGCTGTGCAGAAGCTCTGGAGTTTAATTAGATCCCATTTGTCTATTTTGGTTTTTGTTGCCAATGCTGTTGGTGTTTTAGTCATGAAGTCCTTGCCTACGCCTATGTCCTGAATGGTTTTGCCTAGGTTTTCTTCTAGGGTTTTTATGGTGTTAGGTCTTATGTTTAAGTCTTTAATCCATCTGGATTTAATTTTAGTGGAAGGTGTCAGGAAAGAGTCCAGTTTCTGCTTTCTGCACATGGCTAGCCAGTTTTCCCAACACCATTTATTAAACAGGGAATCCTTTCCCCATTGCTTGTTTTGGTCAGGTTTGTCAAAGATCAGATGGTTGTAAACATGTGGCATTGCCTCCAAGGCCTCTGTTCTGTTCCATTGGTCTATATCTCTGTTTTGGTACTAGTACCATCTGTTTTGATTACTGTAGCCTTGTAGTATAGTTTGAAGTCAGGTGGCATGATGCCTCCAGCTTTGTTCTTTTTGCTTAGAATTGACTTGGCTCTGCAGACTCTCTTTTGGTTCCATATGAAGTTTAAGGTGATTTTTTCCAGTTCTGTGAAGGTCATTGGTAGCTTGATGGGGATAGCATTGAATCTATAAATCACTTTGGGCAGTATGGCCATTTTCACAATATTGATTCTTCCTAACCATGAGTATGGAATGTTTCTCTATCTGTTTGTGTCCTCTCTTATTTCCTTGAGCAGTGGTTTGTAGTTCTCCTTGAAGAGGTCCTTTACATCCTTTGTTAGTTGTATTCCTAGGTATTTTATTCTCTTTGTAGCAATTATGAATGGCAGTTTGTTCTTGATTTGGCTCTCTTTAAGTCTGTTACTGGTGTATAGGAATGCTTGTGATTTTTGCACATTGATTTTGTAATCTGAGACTTTGCTGAAGTTGCTTATCAGTTTCAGGAGATTTTGGACTGAAACAATGGGGTCTTCTAAATATATAATCACATCATCTGCAAATAGAGACAATTTGACTTCCTCCTTTCCTAATTGAATATCCCTTGTTTCTTTTTCTTGCCTAATTGCTCTGGCTAGAACTTCCAATACTATACTGAATAGGAGTGGTGAGAGAGGGCATCCATGTCTAGTGCCAGATTTCAAAGGGAATGCTTCCAGTTTTTGCCCATTTAGTATGATATTGATTGTGGGTTTGTCATAAATAGCTTTTATTATTTTGAGATATGTTTCATCAATACCTAGTTTACTGAGAGTTTTTAGCATAAAGGGCTGTTGAATTTTGTCAAAGGCCTTCTCTGCATCTGTTGAGATAATCATGTGATTTATGTCTTTTGTTCTATTTATGTGGTGAATTACATTTATAGAATTGTGTATGTCGAACCAGGCTTGCATCCTTGGGATGAAGCCTACTTGATCGTGATGAATAAGCTTTTTGATGTGCTGTTGCCATCAGTTTGCCAATATTTTATTGAAGATTTTTGCCTCTATGTTCATCACGGATATTGGCCTGAAGTTTTCTTTTCTTGCTGAGTCTCTGCCAGGTTTTGGTATCAGGATGATGTTGGTCTCATAGAACAATTTGGGGAAAACTCCTTCTTTTTGGATGGTTTGGAATAGTTTCAGAAGGAGTGGTACCAGCTCCTCTTTGTGTGTGGTAAAATTTGGCTGTGAACCTATCTGGACCTGGGTTTTTTTTGGTTGGTAGGCTATTAATTGCTGCCTCAACTTCAGCCCCTGTTATTGGTCTATTCAGGGTTTTGACTTCTTCCTGGTTTAGGCTTGGGAGGAGGCAAGTGTCCAGGAATTTATCCATTTCTTCCTGGTTTACTGATTTATGTGCATAGAGTTGTTTGTAGTAATCTCTGCTGGTGGTTTGTACTTCTGTCGAATCTGTGGTGATATCCCCTTTATCATTTTTTATTGCATCTATTTGATTATTCTTTCTTTTTTTATTAATCTGGCTAGTGGTCCATCTATTTTGTTGATCTTTTCAAAAAACCAGCTCCTGTATTTATTGATTTTTTGAAGGGTTTTTTGAGTCTCTATCTCCTTAAGTTCTGCTCTGATCTTAGTTATTTCTTGTCTTCTGCTAGCTTTGAGTTTTTTTTGATCTTGCTCCTCTAGCTCTTTCTATTTTGATGATAGGGTGTCGATTTTAGATCTTTCCTTGCTTCTCATGTGGGCATTTATTGCTATATATTTTCCTCTAGAGACTGCTTTAAATGTGTCCCAGAGATTCTGGTAGTTGTGTCTTTGCTCTAGTTGATTTCGAAGAACATCTTTATATCTGCCTTCATTTCATTGTTTATCCAGTCAACATTCAAGAGCCAGTTGTTTAGTTTCCATGAAGTTGTGCAGTTCTGAGTTAGTTTCTGAATTCTGAGTTATAACTTGATTGCACTGTGGTCTGAGAAACCGTTTCTTACAAATTCTGTAGGGCACCATGATTGCTTTCCTAACCTCTGGGAGCATCCATCCTTTACCTACTATTGCAACTAACACTTTTCTGACCACTTTTCACCTTCAAGAATTTATTTGAAATCTCTTATCCTCTCATTGTCTCCTGCCATTCTCTTTGTCATTGTGAATCTAATTCCTTTGTTTTCATTTTAGTGATCTTTAATTTTTCTTTCAGAAATTCAAAACAATAATGTACCATTATTGTTTTCTGCCTCATGTTAGATACTGGAAAGTGCTAATAATTCTCTTCTAGTTGGGAAGGAAAGGCTCATAAGTTTTCATAACACTAAGGAATACTGAGATGTTGATTAAAACATTATCAGAGCAATAAAGTGATCAACTAAGGACCAGAATTAGAGACTCAACTTTAAAACTACATTCACAGGAAAGAGCAGCAATTCCTGAAATTCAGATGCCTAAAGTGATTCACCATAGATAATAATAATTTGGACAGATTTATATTAACAGAAAGTAGAATCAGACATTCTAGGAGATATCATTGATATTCTCATGAAATTCTCAATAATGTATAATTATTAATAAACTGCATTGTATTATTTATGAATTAATTTTATGATATGGGATGATATTTCTTTCTTTACAACCACAGATTAGAAAGAGACATCTTATTTTTATCTTTCTCAGATTTGTTTTCTCTTAGTTGCTAATTAAGATGCATTTTCAAGGTTAGATTTTATTTTTATTTCATTGTTTTTCATTTCTCTGTGGATGACCTCTTTACCCCATCTAGATTCTGTAGGACTTTAATTTTTATTTCAAAAAATATTCCATATACGGTTAGGGGAAGGTGTCTTTACAATGGCTTTGTTCAGTTTAGACTGAACATTTTCAGTCCTCTGTATTAGTCTTTCACAACCTCCATTTCCTTTATTACATCTTTTTGTTGCTTCAATCCCATTTATTATGGCCTCTACTGAGAACCAACTATTTTATATGTGTTGGTTCTTTATAGCATGTCCTTTATATGTAAAGTCTTACAGTCTCCACAAACATGTTAGAATCTTGATGACCATTTTCACATAGTGTCCTTTTTTCCCTAGGGTGTTCACAGAAGACCAGGACGTAGATGAGGGGCTTCTCTATGACACTCTATTCAAGCACTTCAAAAGATATAAGGTGGAGATTTCAAATGCAATAAAAAAGACATTTCCATTCCTTGAGGGCCTCCATGATCGTGAACTCATCACAGATAAAATGTTTGAAGTAAGTAAAGTTTATTATGTCACAAACTGGTAGACCAGCCCCAAAGTAAGTTATGCCTTGATATCCTAGACCCAAACTTCAGGCTACAACTTGCTAACTGACAAGTCTTCTACGAGTGAGGAACTTTTTCAAGGATTTCTGTAAGTGCTCCTGTAAAGTAGAAAAGGAGAGGAGAAGCAGAGGTCACTGATGGTCCTGCTTCCAGCTGAGGGAATGGTGTTTCGTGGTGCCCTCTGAAGTTGGGGTGAATGGACCTGGAGAAACTGGAGCAGAAACAGGTGTTCTCCGTTAACGTACAATGTTTTGTAGAATTCATATGCTGTAACATAAACTAAAACTTAAAATAATTTTAACTAAGTGATTTACTTGAAATAGTAACTAACACAGCATTTTCTTTCAATTAACATCAATTTAAAATACCTAGATCAGAGAACATTAAAACCTGCAGGAAATTGGTGTCTAGAGAGGACAAATTTGTGAGTAGATGCTTGTTATACTTTCTCCAACGCATTTTTTTTTCTTTTTCTTTCCTTTTTTGTACATTTCTGTAGTCTTGGAATATGGGTAAATTCCACCCATAGGCCCTGTTGGAAATACAGAGCAACGAGTGTTCTCTGGCTATGAATATACTTTCTCTGTGACCAAGTTCACAGCAAGGGGAGAATGGTACCTGGTTTCCTTGAGCCCTTCAGGCCAGATAAGTCTTGAGGGAAGAGCAGGGGTTGTCCAGTCAACAAAACAGCCACTCATCTATTGCCTGCTATGCCTATCCCAAAAACATATGGATCGAGCTATTAAAAGACTTTGAGCCCACTTTTATCCTTCGAAGTTGCTCCTTTTTACATCCAGTATAAATGAGAGTAAGGCGATCAGGCTCATCAGTGGGTATTTTTATGGAGAAGGAATTTACCTCCTTCATTACTGACCATACAAATAGGTAAAAATTATAAAACTTTACTTGAAAATACCTCTGTAGAGGAATTAGAATACAGTAACCATAGAACTCCTTTCTAGAGCTCTTCTGTAACTTGGAAGTCTGTATTTATGTTTTCTCCACTCAATGTTTTTACAGGATTCTCAAGATTCTTGTAGAAACCTAGTCCCTGTACAAAGAGTGGTGTACAACGTCCTCAGTGAACTGGAGAAGACATTTAACCTTCCAGTTCTGGATGCACTATTCAGTGATGTCAACTTGCAGGAATACCCCGATTTAATTCACATTTATAAAAGCTTCGAAAATGGTAATTATGTTTATTATCTATCTTTTGATTTCCAATGCCAATTTTTTTCAGTAATCCATGTGTAACATATTGTGTGGGGCAGTGGGGATACAGTCGTTAACAAAATATACATGTCATGAGTCCTCTCAAAGCTCATGGCATATGGCTGTGGTAAAACAAATACCTGGAGGTCTGCTTAACTGGCCATTTAGACTCACAAGACAACCAGAGCTACATTGGCATCAGGTTTACTTAGAAGAGCATAAAGTAAGAAACAGAATCCCAACAGGGAAGCTTCGTCTCTTCAGTGAGATTCCTTGCAGTGATCTACATAGCAGTCTACCAAATTGACTACTACCTTCCCTGAGTGACAACGTACCTGTGGGTGCAGGATTCACCTTGGCTCAGCACCACATACCTTTGGGAGTATATGTCTCTTAAAACAATTCGATGGTCACAGCTTTCAGAGCCCCATAAGGGGCAAGCTGAGCTACAAGAGTTATCAATTGAAGGAAGACCACACTATGGCTTCCCCACAGGTATTTTTTGTTCCTATATAGTTCCAGTCAACCAATCATGGGTCATTTCTAACCTCAGCATTTGCTTAGTAACATTGCAAGAAGCCTATCTTTATTAGGTTTCCAGAATATGAGCAAGAAAGTTAACCATGGGGCAAGTTTGCATTCAGTGAAGGAGAAGTGGTCTTGCTAATCCTTTATCCACAAAGAGTGAAACAAAGATTAATTAAATAATAACAAAACTGATTACTCTGCTAGAGACTATTTTTGGTGCTATACCAAACTAAAGGTTTCATTCTTGACCTTTTTCCTGAGAATGCATAATTTATACTATTATAATGGTAGACAGTAAAGATGTGCTCCGGTTGTTGTTTTTTTTTAATTTGCCTAGAAAACTTTTTATTTCCACACACAGTTCTCCAAATAGGAGATGGAGACATCACAAGAAAAATGGGCACATGCCCTGAAGAGGGTGGATGCTATGGGAACTGGAATAAAAGCATGAAAGTGTGTCTACAAAACAGAGCAAATTAGATTTGGCTAAATCTGAGACTGAGAAGCAGTATAGAAGCTGACTTAGATCAACTGGATGAAGATATTGAATGGTCTGAAATCTAAAGCTAAGGAATTTGAAGTGTACTTACTAGGCAATCAAGAAATACTACAGGTTTATAAACAAGGAAAGAAGTATAAGCAGGTGTATATGACCTATTGATTTGTGTCAATACTAACCTTATCTAAATTAAGAATAAAACAATTCATTCAACTCAGAAGAAATAAAGGAAATCTAATACCTAGGCACAAATTTTGAGTCAGTGTTACGTTTATAGCCAGGATGGTCCAGGCTGTGGCGATGAGGGAATGTTGCTACCTTTACTGCCCACATTCTGAGGGGCTCTGTTCCTCTCCATGGACTGCAGGGATCCGCCTTCCTAGCCCCAGCGCCCACAACTCACGTGTTAGTTTCTGGCACTGCTTATGCTTGGGTGACCCGCACTGAGGCTCACTGTCGCCCACCTGGGGCAGCACTACCCAGTGCCCCACCCAGTGCAGCAGCCCACCCACCCTCAGGGAGCTGCTGCTGACTCTTAGACCATGAAGTCCACACAAACTGCCCCTGTGTCCATATGTTTATTGGGAACTGTTCATCCTCCCTGACCCGATTAAGCCAAAATTCTCCTGTTTTCTAGCCCCATCTTTAAAGCTGTTGGGGTTTTCTCATTTATTTTTTATTTATGCTTTTCAAGACGTAGCTTCAATCTGTTGCCAAGGCTGGAGTGCAGTGGCATAACCTCAGCTCACTACAGCCCCAACCTCCTGGGCTCAAGTGATGCTCCCATCTCAGCCTCTTGAGTAGCTGGCACCACAGTTGTGCACCACCACATCCAGCTAATTTTTTATTTTCAGAGATGAAGTTTAGCTGTGTATCCTAGGCTGGTCTCAAAATCCAGGGCTCAAGGAATGCTCCCATCTCAGCCTCCCAAAGTGCTGTGATTACAGGTGTGAGCCACTGCACCTGGCTGATTTTCTCTTTTATAGTGGAATCTCTCTAGGACTTGAGACCTTCTCCCCAGGGAATCCCTCAGTGTCTTCCTTATACTTGAAATATGCCTACCCTGCCATCTGACAATTTTGGGGGTAATACAACTCACAATGTTTTCATTACTCCTTAGCCTTAAATCTTGAGTGTCTCTTTGCTGTGTAGGACAATAATGACTTCATTGTTAGTGTCTTCTCTTTTCTGTCCCAGGTGGATGATGGGAGAAGTTTAAGTCACGTGGAACCCTCTGAGCGCTGAGTCACCCAAAGACTGGAAATTCATAAAAGCATGATTTCCAGCCGTTGTTCCTGTACCCTGTAAATATCTAATTGCTTCTTCTCTGTTCCGCTCTTCAGTGATCCAAGACAAATTGCGTTTACATGAAAGTGAGGGAGAAGAGAGGGAGGAGAGGCCTGGCATCCAACTTAGTCTTGAACAAGGTAAAATGACAGAGGAAAAACTGTTTCTAAGAGAGGTTAGGGATCCAAGGCTCTGAGTGGAGACTGTGAATCAGGGAAGACACGTGGAAGGACTATGGAGAAGTCAAGGAGGGAGTTACATGAGCTCCTAACCAGATATAGGGACCTGGAGAGGTGGCCATGGCAAGACATCCTTGATTCAATAACCATGAAGGGATAAGAGCCAAGTGTGTCAGTAGGCCAGACTTACAGATGCCAACTACCTAGAAGTAATTGTGATTTAGAAAAGTTCCTGTAGGGGATCAGCATGAAGTTGTGAAGGGTTAAGACCCACATCCCATGGCCCATGGTCAACATCAAAGAGGAGACTCTCGGGGAAACAAATGCTCCTGTTTTATCTGTACCGTTCTGTTCACAGCACTTCTGACACCAAATATGTCAGTGCTCTCCCCACGCCAATCAGTTCTCCAATTATCTGCAGGTGCCACCTGATGTCTTATAATTTAATTGAGTTCTGGCACTAATTACCCAGACTTGGCACAGACTCCACAGGTTAAGGGCTCATTCCCATAAGGATGCCCCCTACTTCAGATGCCAGTTGCAAGTCTCAGGTTGTGATCTGTGCTTCTGACCAGCTGCCTACAGCAGGCATCCCCAAACTATGGCCCGCGGACCGCATGCGGCCCCCTGAGGTCATTTATCCTGCCCCCCACCACACTTCAGGAAGGGGCACCTCTTTCATTGGTGGTCAGTGAGAGGAGCACAGTATGTGTCGGCCCTCCAACGGTCTGAGGGACAGTGAACTGGCCCCCTGTGTAAAAAGTTTGGGGACACCTGGCCTACAAAGTGGAGGTTCCTAGAAGCCCTTTGTTGGCTTTGATGCTTTCCTAGTAGATCTCATGGAAATGTTGACTTATATTTGACAATTTATTATAAAGGACACAACTCAAGAACAGCCAAGTGGAAGAGATGCATAGGGCAAAGCATGGGGAAGGGCACAGAGCTTCTGCCCTCTCTGGGACACCATCCTCCCAGCACTTCCATGTGTTTGCCAACCCAGAGGATGTCTGAACCCAGTCATTTATGGTTTTTTATGGACATTCCATTACACAGTCTGGATTGATCAAATTATTGACAATTGATGATTAAGTTAACCTCCATCCCTCTTTTTCCCTCCCTAGAGGTCAAGAGGTGGGGCTGAAAGTTCCAACCCTCTAATCTCGTTCAGTTCCCCTGGCAACCACCCCCATCCTTAAGGGCTTTCCAAAAGTTACTGCATTAACATAAACTCGGAGTTGGTTGAAAGGGGGTTGTTATGATTAACAGAAAATGCTCTTTTCACCATTATCACTTCAAATGCTTCAATGGTTTTAGGAGCTCTGGTCAGGAGCAGGGAATGAAGACTGAAAAGTGTATTTCTTATCATATCACAGGAGATACTTGATAATGGCAAAAGAGGGGACCAATTTAAATGTGAGGATGTTGTTCAAGAGCAGGAATAGTCAAAGAGAAAGACAGCATGTAGACAGACTCAGAGAAGAAGTGGTGCAGATGTGGAGAGGATGTAGGTACTTAAAGGATGAAAAAAGGGAAATGAAACAGCGAAAATGGGTAAAAGACAACAAAAATAACCATGTCATTAACAGCTCACTTTGAAGATCTACTTTGTGGTAGCTGGTTTAATGCTCATGACAGCCATTGGAGATTAGTATTCCTTACATTCCCATTTTGCAGCTAAGATAAGGTAACTGAAATCCAGAGATACCACAAGTGGAGTTTACCTAGGGTCAGATGAACAAGAAAAAACTCAGGTGTACTACCCCAGAGCCTGCATTCCTACCTCTGTGCTATCCAGGGAGTCTAAAAAAATAGAAACAGAAAAATGAAACAAAAATGGGAAAATATTTGCAGACAAAAACATTCAGAAAAAAGAATACCAAAAGCTGGAGGAAGTAGAGGCTGCTCGGACACTGAGTCCTCATGGAAAAGCCAATGAGAAAGCGTGAACAGATGTGGAGAGGGAGGGTGTGTTGTAAAAGGGGGTGGGCACAAGGCAACCAGGACTTCGAAGAAACTGAGCTAAGGGTCCTGGGCAGGGTAGCTCTGGGGACAAAGGCAGGTTCACTTTGCCACTGCCGGTTACCAGAATGTCTCACAGAGGACATTCAATGGGGTCTTCTGGTCAAGGCCCCTGTCAGCCAGGGCTGCAGCTGACCTGGTACCCTACTGTTGAGGCTGGAGTCTGACTTCAATAATTAGGTGGCATCTGCCAGCTCCACATGGGCTCTGCCTTGAGACTAAGAAGGGGTCTTTAACTTCTACATTACAGAGACCAAAAAGAGGTTAGGGGAGAAATAGCAAGATCCATACCCCAATTTCTGAAATAAACTAATTTCTTCCCTCCAGGAACTGGTGAAAACTCTTTTCGAAGCCTGACCTGGACACGTTCGGGTTCCCCGTCTCATGATGGTTTGTTCCTGTTTACTACTTTTTGAGCCTTTGCTATTCTTGCCCCATTCTGGAATGTGCTGTGGGACTGCCCCTTTGTGTTAATGATTGACCAGATTTTCAGTTTTTGCATCTACAGTTTTTCCATTTCTGGGATTTAAATAACAATCCTTATCCTCTAGGTTCCCTAGGAGGGTTTCTTCCTCCCACACCTCTTAAGCACATTTGCTGCTGGTTCCTGCTGCCCTGAGCCTGATTGTTTTACCCATGCGCCTGCTTCACCATTTTCTGCCTGCATCTGCTTGAATCTGACTGTTGCCTTGGTGCCTTGATCTTACATCCAGCAGTGGTCCATGCTATGGTGGTTGGAGGGGAGTGATGGGCAGCAGGTAGCAAATAAAATACCTGTGAATCAAAACGTGGTTTAGGTACAACCCCACCTGAAAACGGACTCTCAGAGCATCCCTGTGAAACAGAACAGATACATGCAAAGAGAAAAGATACAACCAGTGACAAAAATGATGCAGTAGGAAGCCAACAAACAAATAAACAATATGCCCAAAAGGCTGAGCCGGCAGGTAAGACTGACTGGGTTTGCATGCATTGGGAGGAGCCAAGGGGCCCTGGCTGGCAGCAGAGGAAGAGTGCAATGCAAAATGCAAAGAGACACCTGTTTAACAAGCAGGGGAAAATAACACAGGCACAGAGAGGGCCCGGTATACTGATGAGCCTGATACACTGACATACTGATGACAAAGACCTGGAGGAAGAAAGCTACAAGAGAAAAACTAAAGAGAAAGGGGAGGAGTTGCATAGTCTCACTAAAGAAGAGAGACACAAACAGAAGGCAAAAGAAAAGAGAGATTGGCCAGGAATCAGTGAAGTGCAAACACCTTCACGCAGCAATATATGCAGACGGGGGCATAGGTAGAAACATAAGAAGAAAGGAGAAGCAGGGTGAGGTCTAACAAAATGGAAATAGGACAGAGCAAGGCTCCACTGGATCTCAACTGTGATCTCATTTATCTCCAGAGTCCTGCGAACAAGCCACTGTCCAAGTAAATAATGGAGATGCTGGAAGGGAGACGCCCAGCCGATTGCCCTGTGATGAAGAAAGTAACTATTGCTTACCTTGCCTATTTCTTTTCCTTTCTTACTCAGATGCTATACATTTGTTTGTTTGGTTGGTTGGTTGATTGTTGTTTTTCCATTGTAACCACTTTTTTAAATTACCAAATTAAAAACTGGATGTATTTATTATGTACATGTTGTTTTGAAATATGTTACATGTATGTGAAAAGGCTAAATACAGCTAATTAGCGTAACTGTTACTTCACATATTTATCATTTTTGTGGTGATAACACAGAATCTATTCTCAGTAATTTTTAAGAATACATTATTAACTATATTAATCATGTCATATAATAGCTCTCTTAATGTATTTCTCCTATTAAACCGAAATTCTGTATCCTTTGACCAACATTCCCCAATCCTTTTCCCCACAGCCTCAGCCTCTGTTACCACAATATACTCTCAACTTCAGCAAACTCAACATTTTTACACCCTACATATAAGTGAGATGTAATATTTGTCTTTCCATGCCTGTCTTATTTTACATAACGTAATATCCTCCAGGTTCATGGTTGTGGTTGCAAAGGACAGGATTTCTGTCTTTTCAAAGGCTAGATAATAGTTCAATGTGTAGATGTATTTCACTGTGTATACATTTTTCTTACCCATTCATCCACTGATAGACACTTAGGTTGTTTCTGTATCTTGACTATTGTGAATACCGCTGGCAGATATCTCTTCCATATACCAAATGGTCCCTGATTTATGATGGTTAGACTTATGATTTTCAATGAGTTTATTGAAGTACTAAATGCATTTTTGGCTTATGATATGTTCAATTTATGGTAGGTTTATGGAGATGTAGTCCTAGCATAACTCTGGGAGCATCTGTACTGATTTCATATTCTTCGAATATATGTTCAGTAGTGAAATTTGTGGATCATATGGGTAGTTCTATGTTTAGTTTTTTTTGAGGATATTGCATACTGTTTTTCTTAGTGATTAAAGCAATTTATATTTCCACCAACAGTGTACAAAGGTTCCTTTTTCTGCACATCCTCACCAACATTTGCTATCTTTTGTCTTTTTGATAATAGCCATTCTAACCAGTATGTGGTGATATTAATTCTGGTTTTAATTTGCATTTTCTTAATGATTTCTGAGGCAGAGTGTTTTTTCACATACCTCTTAGCCATTTGCACGTGTTCCCTTAAGAAATGTTTCTTAAGGTCCTTTGCCCATTAAAAAAAATTTTTTTAACTACTGAGTTGTTAGAGCTCCTTATGTATTTTAGGTAATAACCCTTAAAAGATATATGGTTTGCAAATATTTCCTCCCTTTCTGTAGGTTGCCTCTTCACTCTGTTGATTGTTTCCTTGCCTATGCAGAAGCTTTTTAGTTTGATGTAATCCCAATTCTTTTTGCTTTTGTGATTGTGCGTCTAGTATTATACCCAAAAAATATTTGCTCAGACCAATTTCATGAAACTTTTCCTCTGTATTTTCTTCTAGTAGTTTTACAACTGTGAGTATTCAATTTCAGCAGTTAGTCCATTTTGAGTAATTTTTTAATATGGTGTGAGATGGGGTCAAATTTCATTCTTCTGCATGTGGATATCCAGTTGTCCCCACACCATTTATTAAAAAGATAGATGTCGTTTCCCCATTGCATATTCTTGGCACCTTTGTTGAAAATCAATTGACCATAAATGCATGGATCCAAGCTCTCTGTTTTGTTCCATTTTTCTACATGTCTATTTTAGGCAAGTACCATGCTGTTTTTGATGAATATAGCTTTGTTGTACATATTGAATCAGGTAGTGTGATGCTTTCAGCTTTTTTCTTTTTTCTTAAAATTGCTTTGGCTAGTTGGAGTCTTTTGTGCTTCCATACAAACTTTTAAATTGTTTTTCTATTTCTCAAAAAATGCCATAGAATTTTTTATTTTATTTATTTATTTATTTATTTATTTTTTAAGAACAGAGTTTTGCTCTTGTTGCCCAGGCTGGAGTGTAATGGCATAATCTCAGCTCACTATAACCTCCATCTCATGGGTTGAAACAATTATCCTGCCTCAGCCTCCCAAGTAGCTGGGATTACAGGCATGAGCCACCATGTCCAGCTAATTTTTTTGTATTTAATAGAGACAGGGTTTCACCATATTGGTCAGGTTGGTCTTGAACTTCTGACCTCAGGTGATCCACCCACCTTGGCCTCCCAAAATGTTGGGATTACAGGCATGAGCCACCACACCTGGCTGCCATTGGAATTTTTATAGGAATTGCACTGAATCTTTAGGGAACTTTGAGTAGACTGGACATTTTAACAATATTAATTTGTCCAATCTACGAACATGGGGTATCTTTCCATTTATTTGTTCTTCAGTTTCTCTCATCAATATCTTAGAGTTTTCAGTGTACATGTATTTCACCTCCTTAGTTAAATTTATTCTTAAGTGTTTTATTGTAGTTACTGTAAATTGATTGTAAATTGGATTTTTTTGTCTTTTTCAGAGAATTCATTGTTAGTGTATGAAATGCAACTAAGTTTTGTATGTTGCATTTGTATCCTGCCACTACTGAATTTGTTTATTAGTTCTAGCAGGTTTTTTTGGTGGAGTATTTAGGATTTTCTGTATATAAGATCAGGTCATCAGCAAATAAGGACAATTTAACTTCTTCCTTTCCAATTTGAGTGCCTTTTATTTATTTTGCCTGCCTTTTATTTATTTTGCCTGGCTAGGACTTGCAGTGACATGTTGAATAGAAGTGATAATGGGCAATCTGTATTAGTCTATTCTTACACTGCTAATAAAGACCCAAGACTGGATAATTTATAAAAAAGAGGTTTAATTGACTCACAGTTCAGCATGGCTTTAGAGGCCTCAGGAAACTTACAATCATGACAGAAAAGGGGAAGCAAACAAGTCCTTCTTTACATGGCAGCAGCAAGGAGAAGTGCAGTGCAAAGGGGCAAAGTTCCTTAAAAATCATCAAATCTTGTGAGAACTCACTCACTGTTGCAAGAACAGCATGGAGATAACTGACCCCATGACTCAATTACCTCCCACTAAGTCCCTCCCATGACATGTGGAGGTTATGGGAACTACAATTCAAGATAAGATTTGGATGGGGACACATCCAACCATATCATCATCCTACTCTTGTTTCTAACCTTAGAAGGAAATCTTTCAGCTTTTTGACATTAAGTTTGGTATTAGCTGTGGGCTTGTCATGTACGGCCACAATTGTACTGAGATACATTTGTTCTATATCAATTTTGCTGAGCATTTTTACCATTAAAAAATGCTGAATTTTGTCAAATGCTTTTTCTACATATATTGAGATGATCATATGGTTTTTGTCCTTCATTCTGTTAATGTTTATGACCTTTTTAGATGTGTGTATGTTGATCCATCCTTGCATTTCAATGATAAATCTTATTTGATCATGGTGTTTAATGTGCTGTTGAATTTGATTTAATAGTATTTTGTTGAGGATTTTTCATATATATTTATCAAGGATAGTGACCTATAATTTTCTTTTCTTGTAGCGTTCATGTGTAGCTTTGGTATCAGGGTAATGCTGACATCATAAAATGAGTTTGGAAGTAGTCCCTCTTACTTAATTTTTAAGAAAAGTTTGAAAAGGATTGCTATTCATTCTTTAAATGTTTGGTAAAATTCAACAGTGAAACCATCTGGGCTTTTGTTTGGTGGGTGGGATTTGATTACAGTTTAAATCTTACTCATTATTGGTCTGTTCATATTTTTCTATTTCTTTATTAGTCAGTCTTGGCAGGTTGTGTGTTTTTAAGAATGTATCCATTTCTTATAGATTATCCAATTTGTTGCCATTAAATTGTTTATAGTAGTGTCTTACAAATCTTTGTATATATGTGGTATGAGAGAGGTAGTATCTCCTCTTTCATTTCTGATTTTATTCAGTTGAGTGTTTTCTCTTTTTTCTTAGCCTAGCTAACGCTTCATCAATTTTGTTTATTTTTCAAAAAGCCAACACTTTGTTTTGTTGATCTTATATTTTTTCTAGTTTTAAATTCATTTATTTCTAATCTGATATGTATTGTTCCCTTCTTTCTACTAATTTTTGCCTTAGTTTTTCTTCTTTGTCTAGTTTCTTGAGGTGTAACTTTAGGTTGTTTGATATCTTTCTTTCTTGATGTATTCTTGTGTTTATTGAAATACACTTCCCCCCTTAGAACTGCTTTTGCTGTATCCCACAAGTTTTGATATGTTACATTTCTATCTTTATTTGTCTCAAGGGTTAACAATTTTTCATATTAAGTTAATTAATAAATAAATTCATAGGAAAAATTTTTAACCCATTGGTTGTTTGGGGGTATACTTAATTTCCATGTATTTGCAAACTTTTCAAAATTCCTTATTATTGATTTCTAATTTCATATCATTGTAATCAGAAAATATATCTGATGTAATTTGAGCCTTCTTGATTTTGTTAAAAATTGTTTTGTGGCATAACATATGATGTATCCTGGAGAGTGTCCCAGGTACAACTAAAAAGAATGATATTTTTCTGCTGGTAGATAATTTATTCTATATATATCTTTAGGTCCACTTGGTCTAAACTATAGTTTAAGTTTGATGTGTTCTTATTGATTTTCTGTCCATTGCTGAAGGCAGGGTGTTGAAGTCCCCTAGTATTATTGTATTAGTCTCTCATTGCTTCAGATCTCTTAATATTTTTTTTATATTTCATTGCTCAAATATTGAGTGCATATGTTTACAATTATTATATCATTTCAATGAATTGACTCCATCATTACATAATGACTTTCTCTTTTTCTTTCTTTCTTTTTGTTTCTTTTGTTTTTGTTTTGGAAACAGGGTCTTGCTCTGTCACCCAGACTGGAGTGCATGACTGTAATCATGGCTCACTGCAGCCTCGACCTCTTGGGCTCAGGCAATTCCCCCAAGTAGCTGAGATTACAGGCATGTACCACCATATCTGACTAATTTGTTGTTGTTATTTGTGACGACAGGATTACAGGATTGTGCCTCGTGTTGC